TAATGTATTTCCCCTTTCCCTAAGCCTCTTGCCCATGCTACAGTGTGAGTACCCACAGATATAAAGGTCTTTGTTGGCCACAGAGTTGGATCCTTTCCTGACTCCTCTTTCTGCAGTGCATCTTTTCTGCTTTTCTAGTAGCAGTCTAAGACTTTGGGCCATTATCTTGTCTCCCCAGTTACCTATCCCAGAAGACCTCATATCTCTCTCCCATGTTGTCTGGACTTCTGCCTAAAGTGACCTTTGGCTAGAACCAATTTTAGCTTCTCTTTGGGTCTGAGTGTGGCTTTTGCGTTCATTCTTACTTGCCTTTCTGGACTGTCTGCTAGTGCTCTGGGACATTTCTTCTCAGCCCGTGAAGATGCATTTGGGTTTCCCCCTCCTGCCATGAGACAGTTGTGGAGTCCTCAGGGTCTCTTAGGATGGTAGGAGTTTGGCCTTCCCACTCCCGAGTGAGGGTGCACTCATTTGAAAACCACGCAATTCTAGGAGAGAGCAGCTGGAGCTGGCTCACCCTTTCAAGCACAGGCCTATTTATAATGCTGCCTAGGAGGCCCATGGGAACAGGCTGTGGGAGTACAGACTGAGGCCCCTGGGGCTTGGCAGGCAGGGGACAGTATCTCCATGTTCACTTGTATGTCACTTCCATGGGCTTCCCACTGTTTCTGTCTGGTGTGTGTGTGTTGTGGGGCGTGATCACGAAGGGGGCACTGCCACTGCCTCTGCCGTCACTCCCACACTTACACATCCAGGGCTCTTGACAATCTGTCCCCATTCTTCCCAATAACTCAGACTCCCCCAGGTAGCAGCAGTGGTTAGAGCTTTTCCTCATTAGCCACTTTGCTAGACATGACAGGCAACATGGATGTATAGTTATGTCCCTGGGCTCTCAGAGTTCACATCCTCTTTAAAAACCAAAATGGGTCCAAAAAACCAGTAATTCCCATAACTCAGAATAAGGGCATGCACTTCAGTTTTTCATTCCCAGCTTTTCTTTCAGTTGATGAAATAGACCTTGAGGTAGGGAAGCCACTCTCTTGCACCTGTGTTACAGATAGGGAATGGATGAGATGAAGGCTCTTTGCCTTGGTCGCAGGGTTATTAGTGATAATATTGGTCAGAGAACTAGGTATTCTGATTCTTTATTCATTCGCATTTAACAAATATTTATCAGGGGTCTGCAATGTAACAAGATATGCAATTATTTTTTTAAGCCCACCGTTATGGATTATACATCCTGATGAGAGGGACACACAGTCCATGGTTAATATGAGAAACTAAATAGTTTCTCCTTATGACTACCTAAGGAGAAAAAATAAAGGGAAGAAGAGAACAGGTAAATATTGGGATGGGCAGTTGAAATTTTAAATGAAGTTGGCAGGGAATGCCTCACATAATGGAGTCATTTGAGGAGAATTCTGGAGGGAGTAAGCAATATATCCATGAGATCTCTGAGGAAGACCATCCAAAGGAGAAAGAACAGAAACTGCAAAGCTTCTGAGAAGGGAGTATATCTGGGGGTTTAGAATAACGAGGCCAGTGTGCCTGAGCAGAGAGAACAAAGAGAAGAATAATAGAGAGATAGATAATAGGGAATTGGATCATATAGGGCTTTATAGGACTTTTTACATGACAGTTAAAGATTTCAACTTGGAGACTGAATTCAGGCAGCTACAACAGCAGCCATGTGTCTACTATTGCCCTGGCTTTCAGGAAAGTCTCCAATTCATTGTGAGCTTGTCCACTTTGGGCAGAGGTGACATTTGCTCTGCAAATCACCCATTCCCAAATTGTCCAAATTACCCACTCCCTAGTGAGAAAAGCTTATAAGTTTTCAGGATTGTTGGATAGTAGGGCCATCCATAGGTTATTGTGTGTAGGGGGTGGTGAGGTAGGAGAGAAACATCTGTAGAAGTAGTATGAACATCTTGGCTGTCTGGTTTTTATACTGAAGTTCCTTCTCATTCTGATTTTTAGAACTCTGTGTACGCCATCATTCTTCTTGAAGTTTCTTTCTTTCCCCCCACAAACAAACAAATATCCAGCCTATAAATCTACAACATCTGAACTTTTTCACTTCTTTCCAACAGTGAATGAGTGAGTCATAGTCCCTGGTCTTGGGAAGTGGTCACAGAGTCTGTGGTGAGGAAACAGTTATAGGAGAGTCTGAAAAGGGATGTCCTGAGAAAGAAGCACAAGGTACTGCAGAAGCACCTGGAAAGGACACCCGACAGGCTTGAGAAATCAGGAAATGTCTCCAAGAGAAAGTCACTTCTATTCTAAGTCAGGAGAAGGGAAATAGTGAGGGTGCTATAGAGGGAGGTAACAGCTTGTGCAAAGGCTTATGAGTGATCCAGAGCAATCACAACTAAGAAATGCAAGTGGTTTGTTGTGCCTGGAGCACTGAACAGAGGGCAAGCAATGAGCCTTGAGAGGTAAATAGAGCCAGTTCATTCGGGGTTACTATTATTTTATTATGTGGCAGACCCTGGTTTGGGGTCTGGAAGGCAGCATGAATGAAACAAAATTCTTATTCTCAAAGATCTTACCTGGTAATGGGGAAACTAGAGAAGAAATAAATAGGTATTTAATATTTTGGTGGGTGTAGGGAGTGCCAGGTATTAAAAATAAGATAGGTAAGGAAGAGAGTGAATGCAGACAGGAATTGAGGGAGAGTTGGTGGTGTTATTTTTAGTGTCAGGGGCCCTGTAGGAAGGTAACACTTAGGCAGAGACCTGCATGAGGTGAGGCAGTAAGTCACGAGGGTGTCTGAAGAATATTCCAAGTAGGGAGGACAGAAAGTGTGAAGTTTGGGGCGCCTGGATGGCTCAGTCTTTAAGTGTCTGCCTTTGGCTCAGGTCATGATCCAAGAGTCCTGGGATCGAGTCCTGCATTGGGCTCTCTGCTCTGCGGGAAGCCTGCTTCTCCCTCTCCCACTCCCCCTGCTTGTGTTCCCTCTCTTGCTGTCTCTCTCTCTGTCAAATAAATAAATAAAATCTTAAAAAACAAAAACAAAGTGTGAAGTTTGATGTTGAAGCATGGTATGGTGAGTTTAAGGAAATATTTGGAAGTGGTGCAGGTGTAGTAGAATGAATCAAGGGGAGAGTAGTAGGAGATGAAGTTGGGATGGTAGAGGGGAGTTAAATCATATAGATCCTCATGAGATATTATAATGACTATAATGAATAGAATTTTCCTTGGGTAAGACAGGGGGCCACTGGACATGTTGAACGGAAGTGGCATGATCTGTTTTATGTATTAAAATAATCATTCTAACTACCATGGGGAAAGTAAAGCAAAAGTGGATGAAGGAAGATCTACTAGGAGACTGTTATATTTCAGGTCCAAGATGATGATGGCTTGGCACATGGTGGCAGCAGTAGAGGTGGTAGAAAGTAGCTAGACTCCAGGTATTAATATCTGGAATATCTGAAAAAGAGTCATCAGCATTTGCTGATAGGTTGGATGTGGAGTGGGAGAGACAGACAGGTATCAGTAGTAACTCCAAAAATTCTATCTCAGCAACATGAAAAATAGAGTTTCTGAGTTAGGAAAGACATGATTGATGTGAATATTAGGATATGTTTTTGGACATGATGAGTCTGAGATGACTATTAAACATTCAAGTAGGAGTACTGATACACAGGATATGAGTCTGGACTATAAATATTAATTTGGGATTTGCCAGCATGTAGGTGGGATTCAAAGCCATGATGCTAGATGAGATAACCAAAAATGGGAATATAATGAAGAAAAAACAGGTCTGAGAACAAAATCCTAGAACATTCCAGCATACAAAGATCAGGGAAATGAAGACCAACAATAATGGAGCCTGAAAATGTTATTGTCAAACATACTGAGAATTTTGACACCATCCTGGTTATTAAATAGTACTGTTGTCACTTAACAAATTCCCTGTAGATACGACTGACTAATCCTTCCTTGCTGGATCTGATGCCACCTATAGGGCCTATCTTTACTGAGTGATACCAATGTGTCATTGAAATATGTGCTTTAAATATTTGAGAATTAATGGACATCCCCAGGTTGGAAATAATAATTAACTTCCTGAATTAAGCCATTATATGAAGCATATGCCACAAATTAAACATTTCCAAGTAAATGACACAAAGCGAAATTCATTTGCAATTCTTAGTCATTTTTGAGTTTCTGCTGGGGCAGAAGGTTGATGGAAGGCAGAGAGAAATTCTGGAATATGTTTAGTTTGGAAAGAATATCAGGTAGAAATACATTTGTATTTTTCAGGTTTGAAAATTATATTTTGGGCTTTTTCTCCGTAATTTGGTTGAAAATTTCTAGAGGATAGAGTTGTGGGGTTTTTTGTTTATTTGTTTTGCTTCTTTATGTCCCCTAGTACAAATTACATAGACTCATATATATGTATATATACAAATTATATACATGTATACTTATATTTAGTTTATATTATCGGTAGAAGTATAGCTAAAGTTGAGAGTTGGGGGACCCTGGAATCAGTTTGCATGCATGTGAAATATGGTTCTGTTGTTTATGAGCTGTTTAAGCAAGTAACTTAACATTTTTGTGCCTCAACTTTCTCATTGATCAGAGAAGTAACTACCTTATAATGTTGTTTTAGATATGTGTTAGTAAATGGAAAAAACACTAAGAACTGTGACTAGTCAAAGGAAATAATAAATGTTAGTAAAAGTTATTATTGCAGTTAGAAAAATACTACCTATTTCTCCTAAAGGAGCAGCTTTCTCATAATGTGTCATTCCAACTGCTCTAAAGTGGACAAAGTCAGAAGATACAGTTTGTTGGCAGGATAAACAACAGTTCAGAATGAACAGTGATGGGTGGGAGAAATGATAGATTTAGGGCTTTACACTGTTCATTCCTTCTATTTTTATGTGTCTGTCTCCTCAGCTGTAAAATAAAAAGTCAAGCTAGCTGATGTCTAAATATATTCCAGCTTTAATTTTAAATTTTTGTTTCATGATCACCAGTTTTGTTTTAAATTGACAATGTAGGCCATCTCTAGAATTCTGTGATTCTATGTATCTTTGGAATGGAGAATTTTTATCACAGCTCTGCGTATCTGTTTGGTCTTCACACTGTAGATATTGGGGTTCATTACAGGAGAGATCAGGAGGTACGTGTTAGCAATCATTGTATGAACATAGGCTGGGGCTTGTTTCCCAAATCTGTGAACAAAGGACAGACTGATCAATGGAAGGCAGAAAATAGCAACAGCCCCAATATGGGAGATACATGTGCTGAAGGCTTTCTTCTTCTCTTCTGGGGATGCAATGCTGAGGACAGTCTTAATAATCAAAATGTAAGAAAGGAGGATGAGGATTGAGTCCACACCAACAGTAGAGATCATGGCAGTCAACCCAACTGCATTGCTGATCCTGGTTTCTGTGCACGAGAGCTTCATTACATCAGGGTGGAAGCAGTAGGAGTGGTGGAGCACGTGGCTGTGGCAGAAGGACAGTCTTTTAAGAAGTGCAACCACTGGTGTCAGCCTTAGTGTCCCCCTGATGACAATTGCCACTCCAATTTGAGCTATTCTGGAATCAGTTAAAATGGTGGCATACCTGAGTGGATTAGAGATGGCCACAAAACGACCAAAGGCCATGGCCAACAGCACTGAGGATTCCATGACAATGAAAAGTTGAATAAAAAACATCTGTGACAAGCAGGCATTAAAGCTGATCTCCCTGACGTAGAACCAGAATATACCCAACATGGTGACCAGGATGGATATGGACAGGCCGAGGTCAGTGGTAGACAGCATGGACAGGAAATAATACATGGGTTCATGGAGGCTGGGCTGGGTGACAATGGCAAAGAGGATCAGGCTGTTTCCCGAGAGGGTGGTTATGTAGAGAAAGCAGAAGGGAATGGAGATCCAGGTGTGGAAGGCTTCCAGCCCGGGAACACCAGTTAGCAGGAAAATGATGGAAGTAGATGTGGTATTCCAGAAGTTTGAAATGCTGGATTAAAAATACAGAGTTCCAAGATGAAACTCTGGAACAACAACAAAACTGCATTTTTTGGTATTAATCCAATTACAAATAATTTTATTCAACCAAAACTAACCGAAGACAAATATTTATATACTATGTAAAAATGAATTTCTCATTGAAATTGATAAAGGAATCATTAAGATTTCAACTGCTGTAGTAGGGTACCATTCTTTTTCTTATATGTACCTCAGCCCATCATTTTTCTTTCCTGGGACCCTTTGCTGGTAGCTATGTTCATACTGTGTGACCTTTCCTTCCATTTCTCCAGCCAGAGATGACTGGACGAAGGGAAGTCACTTTAGTCAAGATTGGTCAATTATATTTCACCTTTTCTGGATTTTCAAATTGTGATAAAGAGGTAGCAGGTTAGTTTTTCCATATAGTTGGCATCGGAGAAAAGTAGACTGGGACTGTGGAGCAGCAATACTACATTGGCCTCAAGTGTAGAAAGCAGAGAAGCTTATAGACAATTTGGGAAGCCAGAAAATATTGAGAGAGATACTTATGATACAAAACACATATGACACGCTAACAGATGGCTTAGGCACCAGTGCAGTCATGTGCAGATTGTCTATGGTATCTAACCTTGAAAGTGACACCTGTAGTGTAGCATCTGGTGTCTCATTTGGGAGGTGGAGTTAGAACACAGACCTACCACCTAGAGGCCTCTGTCCCCCTCTACCCCCCCATATGATATAGCATGCTGCTTTATACAGATAGAGTTCTCTTCATCTGCCTGAAGATTGGTTGTTCTCCATTTTGTTAAGACATACTTCTCAGGAGATATTTCATAGAATTTTACTGTTTTGCCTTGGAGGGAAAGATATACCTTTACTGTGAACATTACATTTCATTTTTCATTGAGTACAGAATTTCAGGCTCTTCAGATGGGTATGTATGAGTTGAAATGGGAGTCTTGGGAAAGCAGACATTAGGGCTGTGACTGGAGAGGGTTCAGTCAGTAAGGTAACTGTTCCTCAGGGGAACCTAAATGTTTTCCAGACCACTCAAGTTCACTCAGATAAAGTACCTCAAGGATTCCCTAAAGAAATCTTAGTTTAAAAAAATTGGGAAATATTTAATTGAAATCAGTGAAAAATTAGAGGAAAAAGAAGTGCTAAGTTACATGAATTGACACAATAAGTAAACTATAACTTTAGACTCTACAGTTTAGAGTCATAAGAATGTCCTCAGGGAACCAATGAAATTACTGTTAGAAATGTATGATCAAACCTCCTAATAGGAATAAGAGTTGACAGAAAGGAAACATTCATTAAGAAAGGGAGCATTTTCTTTTTGGCAGTGCTTCTGGTGCCTGTTTATTGAGTGTCATGAATACAACTGACATTATGCTGAAATGAATTGGATACAGACTTGCTCAACTGGCATGCATTTCAGTTAATTATGAAACTTTGAAAGTTAACAAGTTTAACAAATTTGATGTTTAACAAGTTCTATTAGCACTTTTCATAAATATATTGATTTCTGAAAACACTTTTAGTAATTATAGTTTTTAAAAATACATATTGATCAGAAAGGCAAACTAAACCTCTACTTATTAAATGAATAGTACTTATGATAATTTAAAAAAAGGGGCTCACCTCTCATGTTCCACAAGTCTTTGACCTGTTTATTTACTATTAATTTCCAGAACCTGGGTCTCAACTTTTGAGGTTAACAACTTCCTGGGGTCCATGGAAGCTAGAGTAATTATGAAAAAGTTCATAATTGCACACACAGTTCAACTGTGTGTAAAAGGCTTGGGGTATGGAGAAGTCTTCTTAGGAAAATCAGTGCTTGAAAGATTGCTATGTTTTGTGTAAATAGAAATGAAGTATTCCAAGGCAACTAGAATGGCATATGTGAAAGTGTTGAGCCAGAATGAACTCTTAAAGAGTTTAAAATCAAGTGAGGGAGAAAGAATAGCACCGTTTATAAATAACTTCAACATCTAGGGTCCAGTGGGGAATGACAAAAAAGGGTTCTGGGGGTGCAGAGTGCCTCCATACATGTCACTTATGTCTAGCTGTCATGAAGATTTTCATGATGCTTGTCGCTATGACGTGCAATGATTGAGGTGTAACTTTTGTTATTGAGTGCTAGGAAATTTCATAAGAGATCTTTTTTTTTAAATTGTTATTGGAACAATTTCTCTTTCATCCTAATTTCTTCATGGCTCCCTTTACATTATTTTATTAATTTAAACAATTTATTCATTACACATTTTCATTCTTGTCAGTTTTTTCCTTTCCCTTTCTTGTTGAGGGATCAGAAGAAAAACATAATGTGTAGGCTGAACTGATCTGAGTTGAGTCTGGCAGAAGAGAACTCCCTCAAATTCCTTCCTTTCCATTGCTCTACAACTGTGTCTTCCTGTACCCTCTCCTCATCCATGCTGGGTGCAGACATAGAAGATTCTTTATTGGTTTTCATAGCCAATAACTCCATCTAAGCTCTTGATCACCCATCACCAATGCTTAGTTCATTTCAGTATCAAACTGGGAGCTCACTGGGTATTGTGTCAGCAGTAAGGATATGAAGCAAATAAAATGACAGTGGTTTGGTGCCTGAGAAAACCAGAGAGGTTGTCAACACCTCATCTTTTTAAGGCTGAAAACTGTATCTTTAATAAGAGCCCAGTGACTCCTATGAGAATGAAAAATTACCAGTTTGGGGAACACCTACTACATGCCAGGCACACTGCATATAAGAGGATTCAGAGACAGATACCTCTAGCTGTAGAGTGCATTGGATGAGGTATTTCTAAGTGATAAGACAGGATAGTTTGGAGCGACAGATTCTGAGTGTGTGTATACATGAATGTGTCTGTGTGTGTCAAGAAGAATTAGTTCCAAGAACTCTTAACTGAGTAGATGAATTAGAACTGTGTAATGTTTTGATGGGTGGATGTGAGTTTACAAGGATTTAAAGCAGGAAAATGGTGTTCTTGACATAGATAAAAACATGAGCAGAAACCAAATGAAATAATAACAAGGTTGGTTGGACAACTACAACAAAATTAAAATGCTGGAGCCTTAAATATGATACTGGGTGACGTGGGAGCTGAGCAAGAGAAATCAGCCAGGCCAGGACATGAACACCTTTCATTCCATGGAAAGGAGAGGGAACTTCAATTTTAGTTGCAGAGCATCAAGAGCTAGGCATTTCCAAATATTTTATGAATAACTAAACAAATCATTCTCATTTCTTCTCCCTTAACCCTAACAAAATTCCTTTCCTTCTTTAGTATCTTAGGTAGTACCAGTGGCTCCCTTTCTGCAGCTTCAGTTCTCAAGTTATACCCCAAACCATTAATGAAAGCTTCCCACACATTTATATAGATGTTTTCAACATGACATTCAATTCAACTAAGATACATTGACCATCTTTCTTAATTGGCCCCTGTGCTTTGTTAGTATGGGAAATAAGAGACAAACCCTGTTTCTCTCTCAATTTCCTGCCTTATCTTTTATAATGACAAAACACATTATTTGAAGGACAGTCTGCCTGTGTTTATTATCCCTTCACCTTCAGTAATAATCTGGGTTCTTTCTCTAATGACTCTCAGGAAATTCTCCAACTCATGTCACCAATGACTTTCTAAATACCAAGTGCAAAAGTTTATCTTCAGATTTGTTTTCCTCTCTCTCATCTCAAATTTTCACAGTTTTAGGCACCTTTTCTTTAGGCACTTTCTCCTTCATTAGCTTCAGTGTAGTTATTCTGTGTTTTTATTTAATTTCTTTATTGAACAGTATTTTTGCTCTGTCTTTTCAGTTGTGGTGTTTTTTAAGAGTCCTTTTCTTTCAAGGAGCCCCTGTTTTTTTTTTTAATTTTATTTCATTATGTTATATTAGTCACCATACAATACATCATTAATTTTTGATGCAGTGATCCATGATTCATAGAAAGAAGCCCCTGTTTTTTTCTTCTCTCTGGTATACTCTCCTTGGAATATCTTAGTTTTTCCCACAGCTTTAAATAGCACTTATATTCAGATGACATGCGAATCTGAAATCTAATTATAGATTCTCCTGAGTTCTATATTTCAAAAGTTAACAGGATCTTTGAAGCCATGGCAAAATGTCTGGGCTGAAACTTGAAGGCAGTCATGAATCCTGGAATTAGAGTGAGGTGATCAAGTAGGCAATTTGAAAAACTAATGGGCAGCAGTTTGGAGAACAGGTCAAAGCTCTCTGCTTAGTGCCAGTGGGAAAAAAATGAATGAACTATCTACCCTTGAGGCATACTCCCATGCATAATCCCTCAGATACCCCAATCACAATATGAGCCAAATGGATCTCATTCCTTCCCCCATTCCAAACCCGACTCTCTCTCCTATGCCTCATTTGTCTGTAAATGACATCAAACTAACAAATCATCTAATCAGAGTTACTGCCCTCACATACACACATACACACACTTTTCTCCTTCTCTCTCATCCCCTACATAGCAATGTTCGTTAAATACTTATTGATTTTACTTCTAAAATGTCAAAAACTGGAGAATCCAGAGTTTTCTATTTGAGGGCTGAGTAATAGCAATGTGGTTCATAGTGGGTGCTTGAAGCTGTACTTCATTGTGCTTTCCTTAATTGAACAGACTTACCTCTTCATATCAAATAATAAAGGGGGACTAATGGATTTATCAGGGGGAGGTACTAAAATTCCCCCAAACTACTCTGTGCTGCTATCGCCCTGGAATCTGTTCAATCCATCCTCTCCAATCCATGTACAACCTTCCTTTTCTCTTGTAAGAGATAAGCTATAGTCTCCTAATTAATTTTCCTGTCCTCCCAGATCACAGTGATGCTCTTCTTTCATTGAACTGTTATGAGCTATGGCTTCTATGTCTTTAACTCCTGAACAACCATATAGCATTATCAATATTGTCCAAGCCATTGATAATGGCATCGCTGTAATATGTGACTGATCTAGGTTCAGGTCCTTGCTTAGACACCAACTAGTTTTGAGACTTTTTGTAGCAATAATAAAAAATATTACTCATAACAACAGCTACCATTTATTGGAATTTGTTCTGTGAAAGTTACAGAGCTAAGCATTTGAGAAACATTCTTTTAACTCTTATTACAACATCATTTGGCAAGTATTACTAAATTCACTTTGATTCCTCTTTTCTGGTAACCGAGTATGAGAGAGGTTATGAAACATATTCAGAATCACACACAGCTAGTGAATGTCAGAATTGGGATTTTAAACCCAATTTTTTAAAAAAAATTCCCACACTATGCTCCCCAAAACTATGGTTTCATGTATAAGTAGTGTAAACTTTCTTTGATCAAGTTTCCTCATCTATAAGGTAGACTATATACTGCACCTAATACAGTGCCTCGCATGCAGTAAGTGTTCAAAATTGGTATTTTTTTTAAGTTTTAGTAAGAATAATTGGGCTTAGAAATGTGTTATTCAGCTCCTGACAACCTCTTTGGTTTTCTCAAGCACCAAACCACTAACTATGATAACTTATATATAAATGATTAAGCTATTTGCTTAACAAACCACAAACTACGCAAACCACATGGGGCAGACAAAATGCCCTTTCTCTGCAGGTTTCCTGAGAATAAATAATTCTATAAATTCTGCTGTCCACCTCAGCCCACCATCTCACTATCTTATCTAATTCTGAACATTGTGAGGAAATTCTTCCTGTGGATAAGAAAGTTTGGCTCACCTAGAGTCAAGTCTTTTCATCGAACAAAACGGTTTTACTTACAGAGTTTGTACAGCAGTTCTGCTTGTCCCTCTCAGGCTGACTCAGAAGGTTGAGGAGACTTCAGATTCCAGGGGGAGGACCGAGTTTATGAGGAGACTTGTTCCAGCCTGCATGGAGACAGGCACAGAGCTGAGAGGCCCATTCCTGCTGGTGGTGTCACTCACTGTGTCTCCAGGGGTATGGTGGTTCCCAGAAGGCTTATTTTGCCTTATACAGTCTTTGTCTGTTTGTTCCATTATGCAATTACGTATTGTGGTCATGTGCTTTATAGGCTGATGTAATTTTTTTTTTGTCCTTGTGCCCGTTTATTGAAGTGTTTTTTTGTAAAAATAATTTTAAGACATAATCCACATATCATAAAATTCACCCATTTAAAATGTACAATTCAATAGTTTATAGTAAATTTACCGAGTTGTATAAGCATCATCATGGTCTTTTAGAAAATTTTATTACTGCAAAGAGAAATCCCATGCCCCTAAGCAGTCACCCTAAAGAGTATTTTAAAAAATGAAATACTATACTAAATTGCTAAAAGGAATCTCCTCTGGTGAGTGCAGATCACATTCCACTCAGTAACTCGTTAGCATCTATTACTATTTATGGCAGTCCGGTTTCATTAGTCTGTGCTTTTTAGCAGACTGTCTCTTATGACTAGGAAAAAAAATAATTTACTCATCTATACATACATCCAGTAAATATTGCATAAGACTATCCTATATTCCAAACATCATGCTAACTGCTGGAGATTAAAAAAAAGGGGGTACTGCACAGTTCTTACTGTCCATGGTCTCTTGGTTTAGTTTAGAAACACACAGTTAACTGATAATTACCAATACTGATAGTGAATGATAATGTTCTCTTAGAGGCATGAACCAAGTACTTGGAGAATGTCATAGGTAAAAATCTCAGTCTATAATTAGGTGTGCAGAAAATACATTTCTATTTATTTTTTCATAATTTAACCTATTTTATGTTTTGAATCCCAGACCACTAACTGGAAGGAAACTAACAACAATAATTTGAGATTCTGCCCACTTGTGTTTAAATTTTGAGGACCTTATATTGTACAAGGACTTTGAGTATGTGGGTGATGGATCTGGCCAATGATGCAATCTGAAAAGAGGTGACAATTGCTCTCTCTAGTCTTCAGTAAATAGAGTGCCCACAAATTGCTATAGACTGTCCATCTTCTCTACTTATGGTCCCTTTAGATCCTCAGATGGTCTCACCATTACTGGACCACTCTAGAGCATATAAGTCTTGAAATCTACCCTTGATTTCTGTCTCTTACACTCTGCATATAAGTCTTCAGATCCTAATATCTTTGAAACTATAACTGGAATGTAATCACTCTTCATCACCTCCAAAAATACCTCCTTTTTCCAAGTCGCCATTATCTCTTACTTGGATAATTTCAGTAGTTTCCTAACTATTTTCCCTGCTTCCATCCTTATCTCTCCCTACCACCCAGTCTGTTTCACCACCGAAAATATCTTGGCCTGAAATACTTTATTCTTTATAATGTAACAACAACACTTTATCATGCATTCTGTGCCCAAGGTATTATGAAGTGTTTTTGGTAGAGAAAATAGTACCCCTCAAAGATGTCCACGTCCTAATACCTAGAACCCATGAATATGTTACGTTAACACGCAGAAGGGATTTTGCAGATGTGATTGACTTTGAAGACCTTGAGATGAGATTATCCTGAATCATCTGGGTGGGTTCATTCTAATCACATGTGTCCTTAAAAGTGGAGACCCAGGGAAGTGGCAGCCTGAGAAGGATTTGATCCACCATTGCTAGCTTTGAAGATGGCAGAGCGAGGGAGATGAGCCAAGGAATGTGGGCAATCTCTAGAAGGAGAAAAGGCAAGGGTATTGTTCTTCCTTATGCTCTCTAGAAAATAATGCAGCCCTGTTGATGCCTTGATTTTAGCTCAGTGAGATTCATATCAGTTTTCTGACCTACTCAACTGTAAGATAATAAATTTGATGGAAGAATCCCTTATTACTTTGATTTATTACAATTACCAAGGATTAGAGAATATAAGTAACTTACTTAGATCTCTCAGTTAATAAGTGTGACAACCACTATTTAAAGCTTGGGCTATTGGAAACCCTTCAGGTTTTAAAACTCATTCGCTAGAGAATCTTCACATGATTATTCATCTACCACTAATTCCAATTCAAATTGTTCTAACCCAACAGCATGTGTGCATGCTTATGTGCTAGCCTGGATGTTAACACGCTGTCACCTGTGTATGCTTACATTTTGTGTATGAAGTTTGGTCTGTCATATCTCCTTACAGTGAACTTCTTGAGACCTTTGGAAACATTTTCTCTACCAGTCTGGGCAAATTCTAGGGCAGTGACTGTGTTCCCATCAGTCTCAGAAACTTCTTGGGGATTATGTTTATTTATCCCCTGGCCAAAAGAATGTTACTTTTTCTCACAGCAATAGAGTTATAATAATATTGTAGTATACTCTGAGCCAGAGCTTGGTGCATGCGCATGAAACGGTGTGCATAGTGGTAGAGCACTGACACACATTGTACTCGTACTTTCAAATTACAGTCCTTCTCACTGCCCTACTCTCATGCCAGCCCAGGAGAACAGTAGCTGGTAATTCAATTCAACTTTCTGAAAGTCTGAGCAAAATACCCCTCAATAAAATTACAAAATTTTAAGAAACTTACAATACACAGTGTTATGTTGCTGTGTTATCATGGACTAAGCCCTGTTTTACAGTATTTGTATGAACTTTCTGAAAGTGCATTTTCCAGTATATTGTTGGCTTAAAAGGTCCATTATGTTCTATTTCTAGAAATTTATCCAGAGGAAAAAATAGAGATACAGGCCACATTTTATATAGAGGAACATTTATTGCAGTATTATCTATAGTAGTAAAACATGTAGGTAACAAAAATTCTAAATGACACAGAAATAAGTATTTTATCTGGTCATAGGCTATGACCTTTAAAATTCACACATGGAGCAGCTGATGTGGATAGTCATTTTGAATCAGGAAATGGGAAAACAGAATTCAGGACTGAGAGTTTTCTAAGGGAGTAAATAGTGTAGGTTCTGAAAGAAACAGTCTGAGACAGGAGCAAGAGGCAAATCAGATAATCGAGGGTTAATATATCCAATTGTAGAAGCAAACCTAAAAGCAAGCAAAGAATAACAATAACAACAAAAACTGGTTCCTGCCTCAGTAACTGTGTTTAGAAACAACCTATTTGCTATTTACAAAAAATACTAAGGTCCTACAACTCCTGCAAGCCCTCCAGGGTCTGGTGACAGTCTCATTCTCTTCTCCTGGATTCAGTCATGTTGAATTACCAGTAGTTCTACCCTATTAATTTGGCCAACATTAACCATTCAATTTTAGTGGATAAAGAAATGTAGCTCTTACTTTCCTCTCTCTATCATCTCCTCTGGCTATTCCTGTTATTCCTGTTTATCCCATTCCTCTCTGCTCTCACCATGTCTTATACATGCTTCCATCAACATTCTTCATGCATTCATTTATCATTACAAAAATATTGTATGCATACTATATGTCTGTTACTGAGTAAGATTTGAAGGTGTAATAACAGCGAACACAATGGATATTGCCCCAGATGTTACAGAGTTTAGTGGAGCATAAAATTAAATATGTGGGAAATTACAGTACTGTGCTATAGTTACTTTATCTAAAGGAGGAAAATTAATAGATTTCTGCTACTAAAAAACCAATAGTATTGGCATCACATGGAAGCTTGTGAGAAATGTAGAATATCAGATATACTGAGTCATCATCTGCATTTTTGCAAGATACCTAAGGGACTTATGTGACATTCAAGTTTGAGAAGCACCGATGTAGATCAAATGGATGTTGAGACCTTGCCCTATATGGTCAAGAGAGCCTCGCCAAATATAATTGCTATAATGAGATCTGAGGAAATAAGGACTTCCTGAAGGGATCTAGGGATGAGGATAGTAACATAGAGGGTAGGGTGAGGAGATGATAGAAGGTTAGGGAAATGTTGCGGGCATGGTCAACAACTGTGGTGTTTTATTCCATAGGCATCCTGAACACAATATTGGGGAACTGTAATGCAAGAGAGCTAAAAAACAAACACAAACACAAAACAAAACAAAAACAAAGGAAAATAAAACACTCCACAATATTCAGCTTCCATTAATTTATCTTTTATTTTCAAAATTAACAAGTCAGGAAACGACAGATGTTGGCGGGGATGTGGAGAAAGGGGAACCCTCCTACACTGTTGGTGGGAATGCAAGCTGGTGCAGCCACTCTGGAAAACAGTATGGAGGTTCCTCAAAAAGTTGAAAATAGAGCTACCATATGACCCAGCAATTGCACTACTGGGTATTTACCCCAAAGATACAAAAGTAGGGATCCGAAAGGGTACGTGCACCCCGATGTTTATAGCAGCAATGTCCACAATAGCCAAACTGTGGAAAGAGCCAAGATGTCCATCGACAGATGACTGGATAAAGAAGAAGTGGTATATATATACAATGGAATATTATGCAGCCATCAAAAGGAATGAGATCTTGCCATTTGCAACGATGTGGATGGAACTGGAGGGTATTATGTTGAGTGAAATAAGTCAAACAGAGAAAGACATGTATCATATGACCTCACTGATATGAGGAATTCTTAATCGCAGGAAACAAACTCAGGGTTGCTGGAGTGGGGGGTGGGGTGGGAGGGATGGGGTGACTGGGTGATAGACACTGGGGAGGGTATGTGCTATGGTGAGTGCTGTGAATTGTGCAAGACTGTTGAATCTCAGATCTGTACCTCTGAAACAAATAATGCAATATATGTTAAGAAAAAAAAAGAAGAAGAAGAAGAAGGTAGCAGGAGGGGAAGAATGAAGCGGGGGAAATTGGAGGGGTAGATGAACCATGAGAGACGATGGACTCTGAAAAACAAACTGAGGGTTCTAGAGGGGAGGGGGGTGGGAGGATGGGTTAGCCAGGGGGTGGGTATTGAGGAGGGCACATTCTGCATGGAGCACTGGGTGTTATGCACAAACAATGAATCATGGAACACTACATCTAAAACTAATGATGTAATGTATGGGGATTAACATAAGAATAAAAAAAAAAGAATTCTTTCAATTGAAACAATTTTGAGGGGAGTCATACCTTATAATAAAAAAATACAAAATATAAAAAAAATTATCTTTAATTTTCACATCATAAAATCTTAGAACAAGTTATTTTAATTTTAATATAATGTAAGCTTTATGTCAATAACAAATAAAATCTTTCTTTTATTATGTTATGTTAGTCACCATACATTACGTCATTAGTTTTTGATGTAGTGTTCCATGATTCATTATTTGTGTATAACACCCAGTGCTCATTGCAGCAAGTGCCCTCCTTAATACCCGTCACCGGGCTAACCCATTCCCCCACCCCTGACACCCTCAGTTTGTTTCCTGGAGTCCAGAGTCTCTCATCGTTCGTCTCCCCCTCTGATTTCCCCCCCTTTAGTTTTCCCTTCCTTCATTTAGGGAGTTGAAGATAAATTCAATAGGGTTAAGCAGAGAGAGTGGAAAGACAGTGCTTTTAGGTTGGAGCCAAAAGGCCTGCAAAGCAGATTCCTCAGGGAACTGAGAAGCCGAAGGATTGGAAGCAGGGTGATGTCCTAATCAGATTTGTTTTACTATGATGGCTCTCTGACCTGTCAGAAACGTGAACTCCTTGAGGGTATAGACTATACCTTTTCTTCTTGATATCTGGAGCATAGTATCTGATACGTGTCAGTCACTAAACAATAATTTATTAAGATCGCTATCTTAATGAAAAAAATAATTGTAATGGCAAGCAATAACAATAAATATTAAAAAACCTATTATGAATGAGTACAAAATGTACTGTGCTGACTTTTCTATGGATTGATATTGGATCACTTTGTTTATTATGAAAAGTAAATGTATGAGGCAGATATAATTATTTTCCCCATGTAAAAATGAAGAAATGGAAGTGAAGTGGTTATATAATTGGCCCACGGTCACACTTTTGGTGACAAAGCTGAGCTTTGGAGCCTGGGCTGGTTCTAAATACTTTGATTTTAACCAATGCTTTTTAACTCTAAATGGATAGGTGAGTGCAGAGAAGGTATTCAAAATATTCAAGCCCTGGGACAGGCCAATTAGAAGAGACACTCTATCAACAGAATGAACATTGGTTATTATGCCCTTTGTTTGTGTGTCCACTAATCATTAAACTTGGGTTATTGAATGGTTTAAATCCCTCAGTTTGCACTGGAAAAGAACCAGACATTCTAACAATATACCATCTCTTGCAGCCCTGCTCATGGACCAGTGCTCTTTAGATTGGAATGCTTAGTATGGCTAGCAAGATTTTCA